TTGAGTGGCATATTACAATAGCAGTTGTAAATATGTTTGAATAACTTATTTTGTCTACCTTTGGAAGACAAGTTAGATTCTTTGCCTAGCAGGTAATTGCACAAAATTCTGCACTCCTGGAAAGCCAATGCTAATCTCTAATTAGCTGTCAGAGACTACTACTAAGTTGTTTTACACCTTAAACAAAACTTGCTGTAAGCAATTTCATTTTATGCGAAGTCTCTGTTTCATCCAAAAAAAAGCCAAAACCAAACAAAGAATATAACTTTGCGTAAAATTTATAAGTAGCAATTTTGTATAAAATGCTAATGTAAGGACTAACCAATGCAAAGCTACGTAGATGCATCTGCTTTCATCTAATAACATAGGAGTGTTCTAATGCGTGTTTGGAGGAATGGATATATATTACTGTACAGTACTGTAATGAATGTGTACTGGAATCTGGCTCCACAAAGAAAGATGTGGAACAGTTGCTTAACTTCTAATCTTCTAGACAGCAAATCCATGAAATGTCATACTTGGAGATTTTTCAGACAAGACTAAACTCCCCAGCAAAGCAGAAATGATAACTTACATAATGAAGTGGTCAGAATATGAAAACAAGACAAACAAGATTTTGATGAGCGAAAGATAAATAGCTTTTCTTCTCATTAGTTGGACTGCTTGCTGTGAGGGTGTCATGCGCTCAATTCACGCGCATGCTGATGCATTGCAGCCTCTGTGCACACAGACGTTTGCTTCAGTGGGAGTTTTCAAAAGGCCCTGCCTCCACCTGGGGAGTGGGCTTTGGGATAAGGAAGGAAACCTCCTCGCTGCTAGCGGCGTTCTGTGTACCTGTTTAGTGAGGCCATGCACACTGCAAAGTGTGAGAACATTCATTCTGTTTTCCACTGAGCATTGCAGCAACAACTCAAGATGATGTCTTAATTTGATCACACAGTCATATTCACTTAATTGACTATTAGAGAAGCAATAGATGGGATAGGTCTGCAGATATGCTGCTTACTTGTCTTTACGTGCTAAATGGAAGCCTGTGTTTCGTTTCAGCAGGAATATGTACGCTGCTCTGGACTCAGGAGATACTGGTCCGGTGCAGCTCTGTTCTGGGAAACTGTGTTTAGTAAGATGCTCTTCAGAGTAAAAATGAAATACAAACTACATTAGGTCAGTAGTAGCTAGTAAAAAAAGCCACATGGCCCATTTGGCTTCTCTTTTTGAAAATGTTACAATTCAGATATAATCAATGGCACAAGTCAGAATAAATCCCATTTTGTTTGAGAGCAATGCAGCCAAGTCCCAAGGGGAAAATATGAAGCAAAACATGATTAAAAGCAGAGGGGCAGTTGGATAGGTGAATTTCAGGCAGACTCACTGCGAATTCACATAAAACGTCTATCTGATATGGTGTGGCTTCTTAACTTCTGTGCTGATTAATGTCCAGCTGTGCTCTACCACAGTAACCTGTAGGAGCCCCAAGAGGAAATGTACAGAACCAGGAGACATACTGGAAAATGAAAACCTCCCCAGACAGCTTTTTTTCAAGAGAGGCCTCGGGAGTAGCTCCAGCCTACAGAAGGATGATGCTTTGTCAGAGGCTGGGAAATGTGTGTATGCTCTGGCTTCTTCACCCACTACAGCATGAAAGAACTGCTGTTCTCTCACCTTAGGGTTCTGCTGCACAGGGATAGGATGGAGGGACCAGTCCCAGTGGTTAACAAACACACTGTATAAAAACTACATTACTCAGTATGCACTTCATAGAAAGCATTTTTCTGTTCAAATATTTGTTGAAAACTTTATAGGTGGATTGTGTATTTTTTTGTGAATATTGATTTCAATTCAAATTAAAAAGAAACTTTGCAGGGTTGGCCTCTTACCCCAAGAGATACTAAGACAAATGCAAGGCATGGGCAGGAGCTTACTAATAATATGTAAACATAGACCCTCAGCCTAATGCACTTTCCTCTTTGTCTGTACTACAAGTGTAACTTTGTTGTATTAGAACTGCATCACTGTAAGTGATGGTGGGTTTTTTTTTGTTTGTTTTTGTTTTTTGTTTTTTGCTTTTTTTTTTTTTTAATAGCAACCACATATGAGGTCAAGCACAACATTTTCTCAGCTTGATGGACTATCTTAAAGTGAATATGATATAGTTCGAGATAGTAACTAAAAGCTCAATGTAACCAAAACCACATGCAATTTGCATTTGGTTATGGAGTGAAAAATATAAGTTTTTTGCTGCCTTCTTGTCTGAGAATGTAACTGGAGAAGTTGTGCTGCACCTTGGGGAATAATTCACAGCCTGATACTGAAAGAAATACTGTTGCCCCGGAAGAATAGGTTGAAGAGTAAAGTAGCCTAATCACCAATGAGATTACCCAGCCAGGCAATAACTGCAGCTGCTTGAATACTCCTATAAAGAAAGTAACTTCCATATTCCTGCAGTTCAGTTTGTTCACTGAACCCTGAGAAAGCCTGAAATCAGGTGCTTTGGTAAGGAGGGAGGGGCTGGCAGCAGCTATGCCCCATTACCAAGATATGCTGTGCAGCAAAAGCAAATCAGTTTGGAAGACCAGACTATGAACATGTCTGTGGGGATTGCTTAGGAGCATCTCTGGTCTGATCCAGTGGATTGAGCATCCATTAACAGCCAGCACATTTTCTGTGCTCCTGGAGCTCTTCTTCCATTCTCATTTCATCTGAAAAGAATTCACTTTCCGTACTCTGAGAACTGTGCTGTAAGGCAAGCAGCAGTGTATTAAGCAGAGATGACCAGGAGATGTTATCCAAGTGGTAATAGGCATGGACTTTTTCAAGGCTTGTCTCAAATCTGTTCAGTTCTGCAGGTGGAGCCCTTTGTGCCTCCAGGGGAAGGCTTGGTTTTTGCCTGATGAGTGATTTCATCTGCAAAATGTCCTACAATTAATCCTACAGATTTTACACTGTACAATTTGGAAAATAATATTGCAAGACTGGAGAGTTACCCAAGATGGCAACTTAAGCTCTTAATAGTACATGATCTGTAATGTTCGCTAGAAGAAAGGGAAACCGGTAGTCTGGGGGATAAAATTTCACCCAGCTGACTTCCAGGGGTGCTGGGATGTTCACAGCTTTAGGTACCATCAGTTAACACTTCTAGACAAAACCTATGGGTAATGGAAGAGCTCCTCTCTGCCCTGAACCCTCGTGCAGGTGCTTCCCACTGGCTGTAAGATACAGGGCAGAGGCACAGAATGGCTTTCAGGGAAGAGCCCAATCAGTTGTGCTATAGACCATGAGCAGTCATCTTGCTTTCACTTTGAAACAGGATTAAAGCATAGTGATAGTACAGGGAAAGAAAGCTGTTGCTTATTTTGCATACGTTAAGTGTTTGTCAAGGATTTCTGCCTCCTAACTTAACAGGGCCCCCTTTCATTAGATCTAATTTCAGTTAAAAAGTTTAATACTTGTCTGCTCTTAAAGTTGCTTACTAGCTGACAGAGTCTAATAGCAATAAATAGCAGCAGAAAAGTCCATTTCTTCCCAATAAACTTTGTACTTCTGCTAACTAGCACAGTCTAAAAATAAATCGGGGTATCTGAGCACTTGGAAAGCTGTAGTTAAGTCCATGTCAGGCTCTTTTCTGCTTTAAGCTAAGGTTAAAACTAGAAAGACTAAAACAGAATTGAAAAAATTCACCAAGATTATCAACAACATTCTTGAAGATTCACTTTCTACTGTATTCATTCGATGAATATCATACAAAATGGACTCTGGGTTTCCATTTCCTTCTACTCTTCTGCAGCAGGACATTAAGTAATAGCATTTGTGATTTAATCTGCACTTTAATGCATTTTCCTCACTTGCTTAATTGTATTAATGGACAGGGGAGTATGATCTTGTAGCGAGGACAGAGGACTGGAAGTCAGGTGATCTTGGTTATATTCAGAGTTCTGCAACAGGCTTCCTGTGCAGTCTGCTCTAATCAGGTTTGCTAATATATAAAATTAAGATAATGACATTTCCCTTCCTTACCAGGGTGTTGTGACACTTAATTCATTAATGTTTGTAAAGTGCTTTGTGCTCCTTGCTTCTAAATGTGCTCCTTGCTTCTAAATGTGCTCCTTACTGTAATGTCTTATGGAGGGTATTAAATTTGAGAATAATGTTACTTTAGTGCCTCTGCCCTTCAATTGGCTGAAGTGTACTAAAGACCATTATTTTCATGTATTTTATGAGCTACTGGAATTTTTTAGATGGCTTACTTGAAATTTAGCTAATATAGTTCCAGTTATAAAACATACTATGTCAGTCCTATGCCTTGTTTTTAATTTTTTGTCTTTTCACTATGATGAAATATTTAGCAATAAACAAGACTGTCTAGCCAGACTAAAGGGAGGGAGAAAGAGTTTGGCATAAGTATTCTATTTGCTTGACTTCCAGCTCTGTTGCTGAGACTGCTCTCTACCCTGGTAAATCACCACACAGCTCTGTGTCTCAGTACAAAATGCACAAAAACTTGAGCAAGAAACGAAGTTTAAAAAAAATTAGGGATGTGAAAATGTGGAGCTGTGCTATTTATGTAATACTGTAACAGCCTACATAACCAAGCAGATGTATAATTTATGTAATACAATTGAAAACGAAACAAAAAATAGTTCATTAACAAAATCTCTAAAGATTTGGCAGCGCAACTTGATAAGCTCAGTACAAGTCACATGGATCAGTCTCTGTGAGCACAGGAAAATAACAGCTAAAATAATCTTCTAAACGTGCAGTCCAGTCGGGCTGTTAAAGCAAATGGAAATCGTACATAGAAGTGAAAGTAGAATAAAATGCTGAGTTAAAAAATACAGGAGTATTGCTAATGTTCACTGCTTCTGAACTTTTTAGAACGTGGTTATTCACTCAAATTCTGCTCCTTTAAAAATCAAATGTTTATCAGACAGTTGTAATACCTAAAACTATGAGTGTTTAACAGCCAGTTTTACATCAGGTGAAGAAAGGAGTTAGAAACTTACCATAAACAGGAGCAATTCATTCAAGACTGTGCAGTGTTTGTCAGGCAGTAACCACGCTGCTGGTATAGTACAAGGAAAAAGCATACAAAAGTCTCCTCACGAGCACTGTCCAACATTAAATTAGTAAGAAGGAAGGAAAGCAGCTGACACTTACTATCAGTATAAAAGTTCCCAGGAATTCTGAAAGGGCTTCTTTAACCAAGCTGTTCTTCAAGGCAAATTTCTCCTTTAAACTCCTTTTGTTTTTCCGGCTCATTTTGGCTTCTTCTATTGCTCTGGTGCCCTGGCTACAAATACACACAAAATTTGCTCTGTAATCGTCCCTGCTTCAGCTGAACTTTGACACTTTTACTTATACATTGAAATATGAGATTTCATCCTGTACAGCCAGTGAAATCATCTGACTGCAGGCATTGACAGAACCAACGCAACATGCCCTAACAATTCATCATGAGTTTTCCATCCTGTGCCTTCTCTGAGCATGTTTCTATTTATACTGGCGAGATAATACCAGGAGGTTTACAAGCAGAACTTTTCTTTTTTCTTACAGAACCGATTAATCATTACCTTTCTGGCTATGTTGCTTCTTTTTTTTTCTAGTAAAAATGGATAAAATGTTGTTCCTGTTGCCCTGATCAGACGGAAATACGAAAAGAGAAACCACAAAGTAAGGAACCAAAATATGGATAGAAATTTCACTCTGACCTAGTTTGGGATTTAAGCCATACTGCTGGCTGTCTGAAACCTTTTCAAGGGGAAGTTGTAAAGGAAAATAAATGCTTGTGAGGACACTGTGCTCTACTCAGTAAAGAACAGCTCCTATCTTGTAGTTCTGAGGGATTTCAGTGGCTAATGAGGAGTCTTACCTTGGTTGTATGTTGAATTTGTACAGTCACACACGATACTCTTTTTGGACTAAATGCTTTGCTGTCTGGTGACATGCCCTATTTACAAAAGAGTGACAAGGCAGAATAAATTAGGAACACTTAATGAAATCTGCTTTGGTCCAGTGGCTCTCTATAATGCAGAATAGGCAAACGAGGCACTGAGAATGACTCTATGTTCCCAATATATTTGGCTTAAAAGTGCATAGGTGCTATAATACGAAGCATTATCACATTATTGGCCATTATCTTAAGAGCTGAAGTTGCTGAATATTTCAAAGGCCTGGGCTTCCTGGAGAAAAATATTACGCTCTTAACCTCTTAAGCATCTTGGGTGATTTTATCAAACATGATACTGACTTGACCAGCTTCTGGTTGATTTACAAATGTTTTCTGCCATTTGATGTCACGCTAGGAGCTTATCCCAGTTAAGTTATTTTAGCAACTGCTACAGATGTTCATTTCCTTGGTTTGTATCAGTCATCTTCCCTTTTTTTACTTTGTTGGCTACTGTGTTTAGTTCTGTCAGTACTATTGTCTGCTGTGAATAGAACAAAGACTCATGAGACTGGGCAAATGAGACATTTCTACAATTTCTCTGGTGCTCTTCTTTCCCTCAAGGCTGGACTTGATGCATGTTTATCCCTTAACCACCCACTTTACACCCACTATCCAATTTTAATCCTTAAGCATTTTTGCATGCCCTTTTACTATCTCTGAATCTGCATTCAAATACCATTTTACCATTAGCAGATTCAGAAAATGCTGACCTGTGGAGAGCCACATAGGTGACAAGCTGTGAGACATCTGCATTTGTCCTGGTGCTGTATGAGCCAGGTGAGCACCTGTGTGGCAGCAGGCAGGCATGAGTGCAGAGGTTTAGCCTACAGTGCAGGTCTGCACTCGCACAGAGACAGCTGGAGCTGCCTCTGGAAAGCCACTGAAAACAGCTTATGTACTGCAGTTTGAACATCTTTGTGCTGTATCACTGCAAAGCAAAGATATAATTCAGAACCTTAATTATCACATATATTAAAGTATATGTTCATTATGGCTTTTAAAATTATGGATATGGTAGAGCTGAGGGAGGATCTTGAGGAGGCCATCCATTACTGGAGGAATGAGATAATCCACTTCCTCACTTCCAGGAAAATGGGAAATAAATACATTTATGAAAGCAATTTTTAGTTGCTTGCCTGTAAAAGTTCATTCTTCTGGGCAGATGCAAGTCTCCCTCTCAACATAGTGTGAAGCTACTTCTTAGTTTAGTCTCACAACAGGTGTGAATGTATTGACTCTGTTCTTTCATCTAATTATACCGAAATAACATGTCAGTGATAGACACAGAAACTCCTAAGTGGGGAGTGGGAGAATCAGGTTCCCAACATAACTATGCATCATTTTCATTTCCTTTCTTCAGATTTTCTTCAATACTTTGACAAATATTTTAAGGAGTGCTTTGAAAAGAATGTAGAGGTGATAACAACAACCTTTTCCAGTCCCTTCACTGGACAAATCCTGCATGAGATTATGAAAAGCTATGGAGTGCAGAAGTGTAGAGGAAGCACTCAAGATAGTGAACTCCATACCTGAAAAGCTGAAAGAATTTTTTGCCTTAAGAACCAAAATGTAGGTTTAGGAAGCTGTCCTAAAATGAATTCTGAGTAGGACAGGCTTTAAGAGAAACTGATAAGTTAAACAGTAACTATTTGTGCTGGTGCTGTGCAGAATTTCTCCCAAGAAAATGAAATGTTTGACTACTCAAGCACTGCTGCCAGTGGATTGTTTTATGTCTGAATCCAGTCCTAGTACCAGAAAGATGGAACGTAGAAAATGTGCAACTGAATCATTAGTGTCTCAAAAGAGGATTCCAGGGGTGATCACAGGACCTACAAAAATGTCAGTCTGACTTCTAAGCAAGGAAAATTAGATAAAGTGTAGGGAAAAATTAAGTCAATAGGCAGATAAAGCTAATAGTCCGTAGAAGCATCAAATGGTTTCTACTAAGGGAGGTTGCACCTCACAAGTCTGTTGGCATTTTTAAAAGATGTCAAAAAGCATGTTGATGTTATTGCTTGTGGTTGAGTGTGGGTCCTTAGGTCACAAAACTGAAACCCTTGGGACCCACACCCCCAAGTCAATCTCAGCTAAACTATTTCTTCTTTCACCTGGATTCAAGCAGAGTAGGAATTCTAACAGCATGTATAATCTAACCATTATTATGAGTAATCTTCACTCCTACAGAAATAGCAAAGCCAGAATAATACACATAGCTCCCACAGTTTAAGTCCCATGGGTAACAGTCTATAGTGTACTGAATTTTAAATAGTACATTATTCAGAGTATCACATAAATTGTTATTACTGATGTAATAAAACCTAAGCCAACACAGCTGGAGAGACCAGGACTATAAATATAACACATATATTTTTTGAATTGTAATAATATGGGTCAAATTATTTTTAAGTCTAAATCCGCTGATTGTAGTTGAATTGGACAAAGTCTGAATGCACACATCTGCTATAATTCATGCTGCTGCACAAATGCCTTTGCTGAATTTATATTTATGTTTTCCTACAGAAACTGCTGCATGGTACTTAAAGGACATTCCCTGTTTTATTTATTGATCTTGATGCTGGGAAACCAAAAAAAAATTAGGAAGATTTGAACGTGCTACAATTCAGCATTCTGATGGTTTTTAGAACACCAAAAAGCAAACAAACAAAAAAAACCCAGCACATCTTAAGTTCTTGTGCTTTCTGATCATCTTCTGTCCTTGCTGTAGCCTTGATAAGAAGTGACCACCTGTAGTGTGCAGCTCAGCCTTGGAGGGAGGGGTAGTGCATGTGAAGTGACCCTTCCAGAATTTCTTCATTCTTTATTCTCTGTTTCTGTGATCTCAGCATCCAGATAAAACATTTCAGTCCAGATCATGAATGTGATTTCAAAAAGGTACTGTGTGTGTTTCAAACTTTCTGCCAATAATGCCTCAAGCCTCGTTCAAAGCTTACTGAAATCCACTGTTGCTGACATTGGTCTCAGTGAGAAGTGAATTAGACTTCCTCTAAAGCAGAACCCAAAACTTTTCTTTGTTTTTTGATGGGCTAGGAGAACCAGCAGGCCTCAGTGTATTACTGATGTATTATATGTATATGTATTACATATACTGCTGTATAATCAATGATAACATCTTTTAAAAGTTTTACAGACTACGTATAAAAGGCCCCAAGAGTTTCCAAGTTGGTTGAATCTTTGTAAGAGTTGTGTAATGCAGCACTGCACTGAGGGGTCTTGCTGGCACAGTGGGGAACAGATAACATTCCACACTGAAGGGCTCTGGGACGGAACTGTCAGTGCTGGCAAAACGCAGAAGTGTTGGGGAAATGCTGCACAGATGGTTATGTGCACCAGCATTATCTGCTGCACTACACTATGCTCCCTTCTAAATGTGCTGGATATAGTTTTACTATAAGCTTCTCTGATAGGTGACAGTATGGGCAGCTGTAACTTTATGAATGCATCTGGAAAAAGACTATGTAAGTACAAAAAGAATTTTGCTTTTAGAGAATGAATTAATTCAGTATATAGGAAAATGTTTTGTTAAAACCAATTCCCTATTTGTTTTTTCTTCACGTTCCCTTTTTTGGAACAGTTGATGTACGTGACAAGTAAGTGCAAAGGAAGATGATTGACAGCATGTTCTTTCTAAAGTAACTTTTTTCACATCCCATTTCTTTATTAAAAAAAAACCTCAAAATCCAGATCAAAGTTTTAAATTCAGATTTGCTATTACGAACAAAAGATGTCTTGTAAATATAGCCATGCAACATGAAGAAAAGCTCAAAGTACATCCTATGGGCTTTGCAGTGATCTAAACACCGTATTTTCCTAATCAGAATGGTGTACGTAAAGCCTTTTATCTTTCTACAGGGCGCACACTTCACATAGCAAAAGGCATTCTGTATCTATTTATGGCTACCAGTCCTGCTGCAGAGTTGTGGAAACCTGATCCAAATCTACCTAATTAATGAAAAAAAATTTCATTAAGTCAAAGGTAATGACAGATTTGACTCAAAGGTAATGACATTGACACATAAAGGTAAAATTCCTTTTTACATATGATATGCTAACAATATAGATTATAAAATTGTTTCAGATTAGGAATAGGAGGAACATTGGATTCTGAGCCTAATTCCTTTGGAACTCCCAATCACAATTTTTTAATTAAAAAAAATTGTTTGGAGGTTCAGAGCTTCCTCTTTATAGGGTGTGCTTAGCAGTACACCCAGGAAGCAATCTTTTACTACTTCTGTGCTGTATCCATATTCATTAAGGTAATGAAGCTATTAATTGAATATGTAAGTTCAGGTAATTAAATATAAGACTTATTTCTTTAGTTTAAAGGGTAATAATAAAAAATTTAAACTTGCAAACTAGATCACGCATTTAGTGATGATAAATGTGACCTGGAAAGTGCAATAGTCCAATATTAATTAGTTAATTGCATCCATTCATTAGGTGATGTACATTAGCAGAAGGTCAATCCATTTGAAGTTTGATACGTTTTACAAATAATAAATTCAAACAGGTAAATTGAAAAGAAATTCACAATAGAA